ACCAGTGGGGGCAGGATCAGGGAGGGCTACCAGTGGGGGCAGGATCAGGGTAACCTACCAGATATACAAATGGGACCTTCGTATCATTTTAATGGAAAAATGTAATATAGGGTGACTACAGTGGAAAGTACAGTATTGTGAATTGTTTTGGGAATGTAAATCATGAAATATGGGATATGGATAATTCATAATTAAGTAAATAGCTAAAAACTGGAATGATTCTTGATTGTCAAAAAAAGTGGGTCTTCGGTTTCTCAGAAGCCAACGGAGGTGAACACATCTGACCGCAGGCAATATTATGGCACATAATAAAAATACAGAAATGGTGACGTATAGCGTCCAGGTGTTTAGTATACATATATCCCCATATCACAATTCAGATGTCCCAAAATCCCCCTTGCACGCTATCTTTTTCTTTTAAAGTGAGACATATCATTCCACATTTTAAAGGTTTACGTGCCAAAGTCACACATGGTAGTCCTAGCCAGTGTCACTACATTTTCCCATCCACCTTTTGCGTTCAGCGTTATACCAACCATTCGAACGTTACGTATTTATCTATATTTCTAGACTGTAAAGTTCGTACATACCCTTGGCAGAATTTCTTTCTGTCTCCACCGCGTCCAGGCGGTGTACAGCCCCCACACTACAGCCAGCAGTCCCAACCCTGACAGTACCTCCATCTTGTACGGCCACAGTGGTCAGTTGCTACCCCCCGGGGCAACAAGCCAAATTGTGGTAGCAGAACACAGTATTTATGGGCGACCTTCTGTGGTATACATGTACAAAATAGTACGGGCAAAATTATTGAAAACTGGGTAGAAAGCCTGGCGTGAACGTTACCCAGGTGTAAATTGTGCTACATGTATGTGGCATAGGAATATGTCGGATTTGATACTGTATGATTTGGATCGTGATGATTTTCCAGTTCGTGTATAAATGCGCCAAGTACTACACTTGAAAACGGGCTTTTGGGGTGAGTCTGTTGCATTTGACCTTCACAGGGCGCCATTTCAAATAAAGAGCTCGTAAAAAGCCGATACGCCGTCATTACGTATCAAGTTACCGGAACCCCGCGTTCAGCACCGTATCGTATCGCCGCCATATCGCATGGGAGGGGGGGGGGGAATACTGCGTTTTGTACTGAGTTTTTAACGCGTTCTTTAATATATCGTTCTTTAATAGCCTACTCTCCAAGCAGAGGTTGGTGGGGAAAATTGTGACATTCTTTATCATGCGCCCGGTTTTTGCCCGCCCTCCCCACCAATTTGTCTAAATATGGCGTTGTACACATATTTAGACCATACCGAGTAGATTCTATTGATGACGTCCTATGGACACCCCACAATCATGTACGCGTGAGCGCATGCAAACAAAAAAGACGAGAAAAATGATTTCATCTTCTTCATTGCCTTTATTTGAATTCATTTATTTGATATTTCTGATAGTCTTGTGCACCATGAGCATTGTTGAATGGACGGAGTATTCAAATGAAATCAAACATATAGGCTCATCAATTATAATTGCATGCTACAAAAATTATACATAACATAGCCTGTATCTGGGACATATGCTACATCCGGACACCTAATTTGTGGACGGATTATGCCTCAGTAGACAGAGGTTTTCTACACTCTCTGCCCGCGCCTCTGTCGAAGTTTCCCTTGTAGTTTCTTCCTGACGTCAGCCTTGGCCTTGGACATGTGCCGCTGCGGCGCTGGGCTCAATTCTGGCCCGTTCTGTTTTGTGCCATCGGAAGGATCTGTGGAAAGACAATTGGGGGTTGTTGTTTCGGAAGCCATAAACCTTCACCTGGTCTAGCCTCACAAACTACTTCTCTGTTTATCCTTACTGAAACACATTCACATATAATATGGATACCAGCCTGTCCAGCTTTGCCCTGCTACAAAATGTAACCCAGCGCCACCAGTTACCATGGTGACAGACGTCTGGTCCAGGTCATTGACCTTAAAAAACAATATGTTTTCCTTCTGTGAGAGTAATTTGAACCACAATACTGTCTCTCTTTGTCACACACATACATACATACATACATACATACATACATGTACACATACACAGATACACACATACATAAATAAACATATGCATACATACCCTCTTTCACTATTCGTTGGCCAAGGCTTGAAGCAGACGAGGGCGTGGCTATGGACGACCGAGTCCCTGTGGACGGCCGACTAGCGTCTGATTGGTCGACTGGCAAGAGTTGAACTTTGGTAGTTGGGGATGGAGGCTCCTGATTTGTCATCACTGGTGTGATTGACCGCTCCTGATTGGACGGCGTTGTAGATAGCAACTCCCGGCTAATTGCTGGTGACAGCGGATTGGACGGCGTCGGAGAGGGGGACTTCACGTGAAGACTAATGGGCGATGGGCTCTGCTGATAGGTAATGATGGGGAAGGAAGTCCGTAGAGTACGTGGCGATGCGGTCTCCTTATTGGTGAAGACGTCTTCAGGTTGAGACTGTTGGCCAATGACTTGGCCTTTTGTAGACTGGGAAAGATTGCTGTCGGTGTGCTTTTGTGGAGGCTCATTGGACAGCAAAGTGTCCGGAGATGTGGATTGCTTTTTGGTGGGGATTTTGGGTAAAACCTGCGTGCTGTTGGGCTGAGTTTCTGTTGTTTTCAGTGGTTTTTGTTTCTTCAGAGCAGGATACTGGATTTTAGGAAGAGATGCGATCGACGAGGGCTGTTTCTTTGCGGAAGACTTTGATAAATCATTCTGCTTAGGGGCTAAATTATTTGTGGATGGTGATTTCGTTTTTGACAAGTTACTGGGAGAAAGCTTCTGATTGGCCTCTGGCTTGTCTTTAGGAGACGGCTTTTCATTGGTTGTCACTTTCGGTGCAGGCTTCTGATTTGTGGACGGGGCTTTTGTAGATTTGGATCGCTGCTGGGTTTGGGTCGTCTTTGGTGGCTGATGTTGATTGGGTGCATTCTTTGGAAGTTGCTGTTGATTGGCTTTCGGAGCCTTTGTAGATGCGAGCTGCTCATTAGATGGGATTTTCTGTGAAGACTTCTGATTGGTTGGCATTTCTGCGGCCTGTTCCTTATTGGTTGCTGGAGGGTTTGTAGACGCGGACTGTTCATTGGTCGGAGTTTCCTGTAAAGGCTGCTGATTGGTGTTTGTAGATTCGGACTGGTGACTTTCCAGGGGATGCTGATTGGATGAGACGTCGGGGACCGGTGAGTCTCCATCTACCTGGGCTGGTGGGTCATTCTGGGGGTTAGTGGTTTCTAGAAACTCTTTTTCTTCTCCCATACCTTCATCCTTCATAAGAGCCGTACACACTTCAACTTGCCCCTTGTTATGATCTGGGTCCTTCTGATCGTCGACGTCGTTTTGAACTTCTATCTTGATGAGGGAGGATGCTGACTGTTTGGCTGCGATGTCGTCTTCGTCATCATGAGTGACCGTTGTCGGAGATGATGGGAGCGTTCTGTTGTTAGCGGAGGGTTGTTGTCCTGAGTTTGAGTCGCCTGTTTTATCCGGTGTTTGCCTGTCTGTAGCAGGTGTCACATCGCAGTACTGTTGACTCCCAGCGACATCCGACCCTAGCGTATCGCTCTTTTCATCATAATCAGTAGGAACTGCTATGCTGGGTGACAAATTCTCTGTGTCAATAGTTTCTTCTCCGTTTTCTCCTGGTTTTGATACACTTTGGGTTGATGTGTCACTATTTGAATGGTTTTCCAGCCCTTTGTTTTCAGGTTGGTCGATTTTCGCGAAATTGCCATCGGCAGAATGCGTTTTGGACTCGTCAGCAACAGTAGCAATGTTTGTTTCTACCTGTAGTTCAGACTGGGACTGGATATCGTTTGCGTCAGTGTTGTCGTCCATTTTATGCGAGGAAGTGTCGTCTTCAGTTGATACGCCATTTTCGTTTGAGAAAGCCTCGGCTTGAAGATTTGTGTAACTTTTGTTGTCACCGTAAACCTTTGGAGAATTCTCACGATCTTCAAGCGTTTCAACGTTTGTGGACGGATTATGGTGTATAGGTGTCTCTTGTAAAGTTTCTTGACTTGACAGCGATGATTTTGACCTCGGGCTGACACTTTTCCCGCCATTTCTCCCCCTCTGTTGGGCCACGATAACCGTTGCCTTGGTAACCAGGTCCGCGTCCAGGTCAGCCAACCTGTTGACAACAGCCTCGGTTTTAGACACCAGCTCTTGTAGTCTTCTTAAACCTTCTTTTGTTTTTGCCGACCTACACCGGTCTAGAAGAAAACAAAAAACGATTTTTGTTTCAAAACAAGAACCATATTAACGCTGTTTTACCAAACTCAGTGTGACCGATCTACAAAGCACCAAACAAGGCAATAAATCATTCTGAATTAGTAGTTACACAATTAAATAGTCTTTGAGTTTAAGCATAAACAATTAAGGCAAACGTAAGTGCAGGTATTTTTGCCACATTTCAACAGTGAAAAAATATCATACCTTACGACTTCATCGCTTAAAGAAGCATATGGACGCAACCAACAACACACAACGTAACCAAGACAAGAGCAACAGCACAACGTTTTTTCCACACAGGAACTATCCATAAAACCTTGCGTGATTTAAAAAATAGAAGGTACACAATAGATGATATTTACATGTACCTTTGTCACGTCGTTTTGCGTCTTGTTCGGTGCGTTTAGCAGACATTCTGATGCTCCTCGCGGGTGCTGTATAACCTCACTAGTCGTCTTCCCGAGAAAAACGCCCACGTAACCACCAGGAACTGAGACAATCCTGTCGTTAGACTGGTTTGTTTCCGTCGGGATTAACGTTCCCTACTCAGCGTTATGGTAATTTTCCTCTAGAATAGCCCCCAGGCGGAGTATTTTCTTTCCATTAAAACAGACCCAGTGGCCCATAGATGAACTCTTCAAGCCTGGCTACCGTCAGAGTCGGAGTGATTGTTCGTTATCGTCGGATGGTGAAGGATTTTAGACGAAATGGTTGTTTGGTACACAGATCTGTGGGGCTTGGACAATAGGGGAATACTACCCAGGGGGTGTCAAAGTACACGTACTTCAAAGTCAGCTTTGTATACAAAACTGCACTACGGCTATAGCTTTCTCCATGCAGGGACGAATTCGTGTAAATGTGTAACCAAAGGTCGTTTGTGTACAAGAAAAACATTAAATGCCAGGTATTTGTGTACGTCATTAGAAACCGGTGTGCCATTCAGTGCTTTCCGTGTTATTTTTGTGAAGGTATTTCGAGCGCTTTTCGAGTTGCAGGCGATTTAGTTTTGTACAAAACAAGAACGAGCGGAGATCTGGTTCAATGGCGTCAGCCTTCTTTTGACGTGAGCAGCGTGTTACGGTTTAGCCTTTATTTCGTGTGTGACTGGGAATGTGAAGTGTCCTGAAACATGTGAGATAGTCCTGCTTGAGAGAAGAAAAAAGAGCCCCGTGTTTACACTGACATGACGTCAATACACCTCACTCCGGTCAGACTAGATACGGTCGTCATACTGAGTGATTCTACTCTCGCGAGAGTACACTCTTGACGTGAACGTGCGTGAGTTCGCACCAAAGCAAGACCATTGCATTTTGCTGTGTAAAGTGTCCCATATTTACCAGTAGAAATAGTTAACTCGAACAATATAAACAGTTAGATAATATCAGATCTTTGAAAACACTCGTACTATTTTCTACAGTTTTTTTAAAGAAATATCCTATTACAAGGCTAATTGTCATTGGATATATTTCAGAAGTAGCTCAAGTTGTCCGGACACTTGTTTATTATATGCACACAAAAAAAGCTTTACATAGTTTTCACGGCATGGGATGTGGGATTCTGGGATTATTGTCCGGACAAGTTAGGTTGAAAGCACCTGGGTGGGTGAAGATTGAAAGACAGGAGGTCAGCGGTCCCAGAATCCTGCAGGAAGGCAGGTCCACACAAACAAATTCAGGGAAGCAAGAATTGTACACTTCTTGGAAGTCCCAAGTTCTTGTTTCTGGAGGTTATGGTTGAGAATTTATTTTGTGGCGCGATTCTTGTCTCTCCCGAAGTTTCTGGCGAACTCTGTTGCTCGCGGCTAATCTGGAGAGCGCATGCGCACGACTCAGCTGCAGATTGTTGCGTTCGTGCTCCAGTTTGATGGCATAGGCCGGATCTGGAAATTAAAACATAGAGCAGCGTTTAAAAACATTAAAATGCTGGTAGTCATAGGAAAAGAATATTTCTGTGACACAAGCTAAAGAAAATCTGTCTGACAACGTTTCGGTACCTTAGAGCAGGGGTGGTCTTTACTAGAGGTCGCTTATCATACAGGGTACGTTCATGTGAAAATTAAAAACAAAATTGGTCAAGGTCACCTGGGGGTCGAAGATGCCTGGCCTGCATCCTCTTGTGAAGGTCGAGCTGTGCCTGCAGCCTGCTGACCTCCTTTGCCAGGGACAGCTGCTGTTCGTGCTGTCTGTGCTGTTCCCACAGATACGTGATCTGGGAGGAACCTGGGGAGGGGACGATTTATCGTACATATAAGTAAAGCATTCTATTTTTTATATCCTCTCAGTTACTAGAATATTATGAGTACGTGTACATCTACCTACTACGGCTTCACGGCTCATAATTACATAATTAGCATGTTTGCCTTTGTGTTGCTACACTTCGTTCTAATTGTACTTCATATAGATGTACCATATTGGGTTCCAATCTCATAGCAAATTTGAATTTTCATGACAGTTCAGACACCATGTAATCAACTTGACCCACAAACGCTAGTAATAACTTGTTACCGTATATCGTAAACAAAAATCATAGCTAAAGGAAAGAGAAAAGAGAATAAAAAGGTTTATGGCCACGGTCGTCAAACATATGGATAACTAGAAAGCTAAAAAGTTGAAATTGTAATATTGATTGAAAGATAAATCTTTAAGGATCGAGAAAACCCTTCAGCAAAAAAGTTGTTACCTCGCCTGCGACGAGCAACAATAGCCGTGTATGTTCTTATCAGATTTTTGTTCGTAATGATCTTACATGCATGTCTGTGGACGCGTATTGTACACACGAAGACATACCTGTAATTAGCTGTCAGACCACAAACAAGTGTCTGTAAGAGATACAGCGCCCTGCATGATAGCAAAGATACAAAAGGGTTGTAGAGCGAGAAAAGAAAATGGGAGGAGGCTCACTATGATTGCAAAAACACAGATTGGTATCAACACCGACATTGTATTAAAGTGTCCTTCATACGCGTGTAACCATTGTTCTACAGTCCTACATGAAATAGAACGCTAAATTGTTCAACTGAAGTCCTGTGTTGAAGGGTACAAGACGAGTACCGTGTAAGAGGCAAAGAATGACAGACCCACACAAGCTACAGAACAAAACTTTTTAAATAAAATTTGCTAGTGAATCATGTGTTATATCACGATACATTTGCGACATCTTATATATTCATTCTTATGGTGCTACGAAAATGGCAAACTGTTGAAATTGACGAAGATGAACGTTAACAGTAGCCTATTTATGCTGATCTTCGCAAGAAACCTAAGGCTTCACGCGCAAGGGCTAGGACAAGGATTTGTTACAAATCGGATGGCACACAGGCTACACAAGGGCATGGGTACTGATCAAGCTGACGACAAGAAATGAAAAAAAAATTGTCTTACTCTTGGCTCGGCGACGTCTGTCCCTGTTACAAGCCTCAGCCGCTCGTCGTGTAACGCCGTATAACTCTCCCTCAGCAGACACGAATCTGTCTGCCATTTCTTCTAGTCTGTCCGTCAGTCGGTCCAGTCTGCTCAAGACGTCTTCCATGGCGATGTACTACCCTCTTATACCTCCAAGAACAAGGTAACGGACAGTCGTGGATTGCACGTTATAATGTCGTCTGTAGGTCTGGTGACATTGGCCCGAATTCTCCTAAAAATAAACACAAAAAACACTGAGTAATTCGAAATATCTTGTCCGTAAGATTGTCACTGGAAGCAAAGTCGGTCGCAGTTGCCAAACTAACGGTAAGGGCATAAGTAATAACTAACTGTACTCTTCTAAAGTCAGTTAATGATAGGATGATTCATGCAGTTTTAACTCGACATTGTCCAAACGTTATGCCACATTTTTAGCGTGTTCAGTCATAAGAAATTGACTTCGATTTGCGAATGATGCAACTATGGCACCATAGAAATATTTCAGTTCGTTAAGCACACTGTACGCTGTTAGGCCTGCTTTACTTGCTTGTAGGCTATTTATCTCTAAAGATACGATTCTTACGGACCGAAACCACGAAGTCGTGGAAATTCAGCAAAACAATCCTGATTTAAACCACCAAAAGTTAATAGCAGACTTCTCAACTAGTTGGTAGTACCTAAAATAACTACACCTTATGCCTTACACGAGATAGTCTAGAAAAAGATAAAAGCCATACCTTTCTCTATAAAGAAGGGGGGGGGGGTAACTACGTTCTGTCTGAAGAAATGACAGTGCTAGTCGAAAAAGTGCATGGTAATTATGTAAAATAAGCCGTCCGCCCGGTCCTACTGCCACACTTATGTTGTGTCTGAAACCTATCATTACGATTACCTCCTTAAAAACGGAGGTATTGTTTTTGGCGTGTCTGTCTCTTTTTCTGTCTAGATCTCTTTGTTTGTTTGTTTGTTTGTCTATTGGCTGTTTACGGACAATATGTGATGCATAACACTCAACTGACTGTCCCAAAAACTCAGAGCTCAGAACTCATTAGCATTATCCAATTCACGGTCTCAAAATAGCGCCGCCAAACGGCTGAAATCATCATTGCAGGAAAGCCCGCATCTAGCAGCGGCAAATATGAAACGAATCGCTAGGAGTCCTCATTGACACGTACGGTGACTCAGATAAACTGACATACGGAGTAAGGGGTGACGCGAGTACTGGAGTAGGGCACGAGAGGCGGGCACAATAGGCGGTCACCACAGGCGGACTGTACCATTTTATGTGCGGGGGAGGGGCAATATCTGAAATTCAATGCCGTGTCCCGTTACACACATTTTTGCCTACTCGCTGCCCCTCTATTACATTACAAAGCACGGAAACATAATTTTTTTGCCAAATATTTTTGGGAGTATTTTGTAAATTACGTAAATTATTATCATATCCGATAGGATTACAATGGGGCATTTGCAATGTGTCAAGCAGGTTTGATTTAACCTCATGATTATATGGAGAAATGGAAGCTTTTCCGAAGGGTAACATTTTAGGAAATTTTATGATTGTTAACATACATATGCCAGATATATCATATACAATCATATACATGTACAAGAAACTCCGTCATGTACTATATATAAGAATGGGGGGGGGGCACGAGAGGCGGAAGATTAAAGCTTTCTCCTAACGTGGAAAAGAACATTTCTGCTCCGACTTTTCTGGCTTTTCTAGCTATCCTGCACACAAGCAATCTACAATTTCCACTCATTAGTTTTTAATGAATG